GACTTTTGGTGGCTGCATCTCACCAAGGACTTCTACAAAGTCAAAGCTTCAGATTCTGCCAGGTGCTAGTTAATAAAACAGATCCCCAGTTCATGAACAAAGTGAGGTCAGAAAGCCTGCACTGGTAATAAACCTCCCAGATAATTCCCATAAGTAGGAACTACTGGGCTGGACCACAGATTCAGTTCCTGCTTACCTCTGCAACAGAATCTGAGTGACCGGACACCTATCCTGCACTGGTGCTGAGGTATGCCTCTTCCTGGATGCTAACATGTTACATAAAGAGCTGGGGAGTTAAATCTGAAATATAATCAGGTGAGAACCAGTGATTCTGAGAATGGGGAAGAAAGGAAGAAAAAGAAACTAAAATTGTGAAATTTTGATATTATCCATGACCTTTACCATTTTTGATGTATTTCTTTCTTAGACATAAATTGTGAGACTTTATATGCCTGAGCATCTTCCTGAATGTTGAGTGAATGATCTTATATTGATGAATTGGATCAATGTAGCCCAAGAAGGAAAATTGCTATTCAACAAATGCCACATATGAGAAAGAATGTTAGTTCCTTTGCTCTCCAAATTTTATTAAGCTTAAATGATGGAGAAAAATGCGATGTAATATGTTACCATTGGATGATTGGCCCACAGAACTTTTGTTTTTTATAAATGTATTTTAAATGCATAACACAGTGTAATATTTGATTGCTGTGACCATTCAAATAATAAACATCCCAAATAAAATTAATAGTGGTATATTTCCATTTCATTTCTCTAAAGCTGACAATTTGCTATCTAGCTTTTCATATTTTTCCCTTTTATTGAAACATAAACATATTTTGTGCATGCTTGCAGGGAATTAATAAGGAATCACACAGTACAACTTAATCTGTATTTTATTCTTTTCCAACTTTCCATACATTGCATGAACTACCTTTCTAAGACTTGTCCCCATCCCAGTCTCATCTGTTTCCTACGTACTTACTCCCAAGGAATCACTTGTATGTAATGTATCTCTGCTTCTCCAACCAAGGCGGTTGATTCTGATTGGGCATCTGACCTCAAGTGGAGCAGTGCCTGGCTCCTTTGGGATTTTCAGACATCCTCTGGGTAGACAGACTTATTATGTGTGAAATTTGGTAGTGTCAGTTGCTGTTTTCTATCGCATGGGCTTCAAAGAAAGGTAGATTGCAGTAAGAAAAGAAAAATGTGAGAGCTAGAGAGAGAGAGAGAGAGAGAGAGAGAGAGAGATAGAGAGAGAGAAGTTTCACTATAGTACCCATGCTCAGTTCAGCTCCTTTGGATTCTTGGAGTTGTGGTCCTTCCAGTAAATCTACACGTCATTGGGCTTCCAGTCTTACTAAGGGCAGACTAAGCATTTCAAGCTCCTAAAATTTTCTGAGAGAATTTTACTTTTCCTATCATACTTTTTATCCTTGTGGTTTAATGTCATATTTTTCCCCTATAAGGAAGAAGAGCAATGCTGTTACTTTATTCATTAAATATTTATTGATTTATTATTAATTAATTTCTGCTTTCTCCTACATTCTGTGTTCCTAAATAGTTAATGGCTCATGGAAAACTCCACAACAACAACTTAAACAATTCTACTGGGATAAGCACAGGGTATTATGGAAAAGCCAAAAAGGAGTCAAAATCAGTGTGTATGGGGATCAGGAAATATTACTGCTCCTTGACATCTCAGACATAGGCCTTGTTAGCCAACATAGTGAGTGGAAAAAAGCTCCATAGAGCAGTGGTGGCGAACCTATGGCACACGTGTTACAGTGGGCTGTTTGTATCACTGCAAGCTCTAAAAGATTTTCCATAACTGATACAGATGAACTGTCTGAATTTTTAAATTCTAAAACCAAGCAAATAAGATGTTTCTGCCTTGCATGTAGTTTTCCCAATATCATTGTCATACAAAACAAGTCTGCAATTTAACTATGTCCAGAAGGACCCATTGAGATTTTCTCAACATGACTGTGATTCTCCAGTACTCACACATTGGTTGTTCATCAAGACTTTTTCTTCTTAAGCTCCTTACTCTTCCTTGAAAGAGAGCATTTGCTTGCGGTGGTAGCTATTGCTATCAGAATGGAAGAAAAGAGTAATTAAGGCCCTCGGTGGACCTTCCTCTAGGTATGATGTGAGCCTCGCTGTACACGTGATCTTGGTCTTCCACCTTCTGTGTGTCTGATCTGTGGCTGAGTCTGCTACCTGATGCATGGAGGCTCCTTGCATTCAATCACAAATGAGGCCTGAGAGCTGATTACCTTGTGTGCCTGACTTTCTTTTCTTTCACACATTTTCTTCAGAAGTAGAAAACTGTTCATGGGTCCTGCCTGTCTTGGGCTTGCCTGAATTTGGTTTCTCTAAGGGATGGTTGGGTAAGCAGTGATTGAATTTACTGACTATGGGAGCTGCTTGCTTTCTTAGGCAGTATCAGTTCAGATTCTAATTTTCTTTGAAGTTGAGCCCAACTGCAGAGAAATGAAATTCATTCTTGCCTCACTTCTAAAAGTCCGGAAAAAATTTCTTGGGCCTCATATACAATCTGGGATTCTCAGAAAAGAGAAAAATATGGGTCATAGCTAAGTTTTCTAATAGCTTATTTTTAACTGGAAAAAAAAGGAAAAAGAGAGAGACTGCTCTGGCTGGGAAGAAACTTGGCCTGATACTGTTTCTTTTCTCCTGGAGACACTGAAACTAGAGTAGAGGACGAGGAGCTGGTGATGATTTCTTTCCCAAAGTGCTCAGAAAACATTTTCCATAGTCAGGAGATTGGATTGTTAATGTCTTTTGGAAGAGACGCATGACCTTTTATGGTATGATCTCAGAAACACTATTCTAATGTAGTCTACAGTTGACGAGGAATGGTAGGTTACTAAAAGTCAATCCACTGAAGGGGTTTTTGTGAAATGATAGAGGAGGATCTCACAGAACCCAAGGTTAGAAGAAGAGTTACTGGCCCTCTTGTGAGGAGGAATTCAGAACTGCGAGTCATGGTTAAGTCCCTCCGTCTCTCAAAAGTGCTCAGTCCCCATGACTGGTTTGTCTTCAGGTGTGGTTGGTCAGTTCTCTCATTCCTTACACCTCTTTCTTAAGCTTCCAGGTGACTACTACAGGGTCACACCAGGTTGGGAGACTACAGACCTCATTTCTGCAGCACATGTTCTTTGGGAGAAACTTGGTGTTCCATTCAGATGCCAGAGAGAGAATCTGGCAACCCCAACTCAGGTGGTGAAGTTGTGCTGGACAAGTCATTGAGTTCTGTTATCAAATAGGTTGGCGACCCAGGAATCTGAAGGCTATCCCTGTTCAGTCAACTGTGGTGAGAATATTGATGACCATGTGACTCACAGTACCCAAAAGCTTCTCACAGCAGGAGACAACAGAAGATGTCCTTTTCCATCATCAGACTACCTTGACTATCAGAGCACAAGGATCAGAGACCTTCATCTCAAATTATCCAGGAAGCTTTGATTTTAAATTTTACTGAGACTCCTTTAAACTAGTTTTTACTATAAGATGAATGGCTGATAAATTACATCCTATTTGAAAATATGCAGTCATTCTATATTCAATTATTGAGACCCTAATATGGTCACTCTGCTGGATTTGGGTGCTACAAATGAATACTTTTGGTGAGAGAAAGAGAGAAAGGAGTTTCTGTAAATCTGAGTTCTTGCAGAAAGGAAATTCCTGAAGAAGAAAATGATGCAGACAGAATATATTGGGGTCAGTAGGGAAGATAGCTCATCGCATACTTAACAATTCTGTTGCAATCACAGTTTTTTGGCAGACTCCTCCCCTTCTGAAATTGAGCAGCTCCAAGGCTTAGTTCCCAAACAGCTGTCTTGAACAAGAAAGGCAAACTGTTTACCCCTTACCCCAACAGGAGAAAAAGAGGAACCAAATTAGATTTAACATCTGCCCTCAAAAGACAACATTGAATGAGAAGACACTGGGGCTCCCATCCAGGTAGACCACGGTGAAAGCTGAGTCCTTACATTCAGAGAGGGTTCAGTGGAAAGTGTTTTGAGGCTTAGGGTGATACATCTATGTTGGGTGGGAGATGGTCATCTCCAACCGGTTCACTAATTTGCTTACTGCTCAGATGAGTGACATTCAACATAATAGCAAATAGCATGGTAGTAGCACCTGCCCGCCAGAATTGACACTGCCTCCATGGGGAAGCATTTGGAGACCCCTGAGGCTCTGGGTACCAAGGCTTTAGTTAAAACATTATAGGGAGATGGGAGATAGGGAATTACCAACCAGTGGAAATGTGTCCTATTCAAACTGGAATCGAAATATGGTGCTTATGGCTATATACCTAACCTCCTTAAGAACCTTAAGGGCCAAGGCTGGAGACAGGTCCAGGGTGAGCTGTGGAAGGGGGTGAATGCCATGCAAAGGTGGATGCTCTTCACTCAGGAAAGAATGCAGAGCCATCAGTTTGAAGGACCTTGCTCAACAATCATTCCTTCATTACTAAGTAGTCAACACAATTCAAGGAGCTCCGAATGGTCAGTGCTGTTGTTGAGGATGTTGTTTTGTTTAAAGACGTGCTGTCTGTCCCATGGCACCTAAGAGTCAAGAAGGAAATTGGTAGGGAGGGTCGAGACCCCCAAACACCAGAGAACTCGGAGGACATCAGAGACCTTAGCAGAGGGCGGCCTTCTCAGAGAGCTTAATGGACGTCGCCATGTTTGAGCAGCCCATCACAGAGACAAGCCTCTCCTTCCCTCCCCGTGGTAGCTATGGAAAAGGAAGATAACGCTGGGCAATCAAAGGCCAGTGTGGCAGTGGGGTGGCCCCGGGGGAAGGGAGGCACATCAAAGGGGAGAAAGGTGCTGTGTTCGCAGGTGCTGCCTTCTTCTCTTCTACTTTTTAAATGGGTGTGGTTTCTGAAGACTTATGCTGACTGAGTTGACTTCCTCTCTTTTTCTGGCCTTGCTTGGGGTGGATTCTCGGTGAGTGGGCAGGCGCGCCTCTGCGGCTTCTGAGGCACATCTCCGAACGGAAGGAAGAAATCCGGCACGACACCTCCTCCCGCTGCCCCCACGGGCTCTAGTCTGCCCCAGGCTTCCCTGAGCACGCCAGGCCCCAGGGTTTTGTGGCACTGGCTCTTAGCCAGGCGCGGTGGCGACACCGGCAGATCCCTGATACCAGGCAGCGCGCCGCGCGGATCCGCCTTGGCTCATCCATCCCCGAAGCAGCCAGACTGGCAGCGCCGCACTCTGCTCTGCGTCCTCCGAGCGAAGGGAGCCGCTCCGCCGGCCCAGAACGAGGAGGGGGCGAACAAGTGTGGAGCTAGGGCAGGCGCGAGGCTGCGGGGGCTTCTCCAGGCACCCGCCCTCCTCGCCGCGCTCACCAGGCTGAGTGGCCTCGGACCTTGCCCCCCAGCGGCGCTGTGCACCCACTTCCCTCCGCGCTGCGTTAAGCGTCAGAACGGAGCTACTCTGCCGGGATCACCAGACGCTTTCGCCTGCTCTCCTCAGACTCGGGGGTTGAGCAGAGCCAACCCCAGCTGGACGCCGCGCTCCTATAAATAGCACGCGTGTGCCCGCTTCGCGCTCTCCCGGCGGCGCCAGCAGAGACAAAGTTGTGCTCTGGGACTGGGGAAAGAGAAGATCCGGGGAGCCCAGTCACCCGGCAAGGCACCCCGGAACGGTTCCCGCGAATTGGTGCTTTCCGTCCGGGGGACCCAACAAACCGCTGCCTACCTACGTCCGAGTGACACCAGGCTTGGGGATTTTAGACCAGGCGAAAGTAGGAGTCGCTGGTGCCCTGGCCATGAACACAGCCTCGCATTCCTCCCGGTCCAGGAAGCTCCTGCTGCCTGTGTAATTCGCCCCCGAGCAGGACCGACACCCGCACCGCTGGGCACCGTCACCTCCCGCTCTGTCTGTCCTACTCCCTGGTTCACCTGGGGGGGGGTGCTTGGGTTGGGGGCGAGATTCGTTTTTTCTTTTTTCCTGAGGCGTGATTGTGAGGGTTTGGCGACTATTAGATGTCTAGGAACAAGGGTGGCTGCAGGGGCCCCAGGCAGGGCTGACTGTGGAAACGGAGTTGTGCAGGGCAAGGGGTTCTGCATGAGCTCGTCGAAGGACAAAGGCAGCAGAGCCAGCCAGAGAGCTCGAGGGGAGACTTTGACCCGCAGAACTGGTGGAGGTGTGCGCGCCGCCGCCGCGGCTGTTTGTTCAGCGCTGTCGATCTAGCGGCCACTGGCATCTTCTGAGCGCCGGGATCCCGGGGTAGGAGGAGACGCCGGCAAGCACAGGCGCCAGCTGGCTGCGGCTGCCCACGCGGCTCACCATGGGCTCCGCGCGCCGGGCGCTGTCCGTGGTGCTGGCCGTTCTGCTGCTTGTCACGCTGCCGGGGCTACCCGTCTGGGCGCAGAACGACACCGAGCCCATCGTGTTGGAGGGCAAGTGTCTAGTGGTGTGCGACTCGAATCCGGCTACGGACTCCAAGGGCTCCTCTTCCTCCCCTCTGGGAATATCGGTCCGGGCGGCCAACTCCAAGGTGGCTTTTTCGGCAGTGAGGAGCACCAACCATGAGCCATCCGAGATGAGCAACAAGACGCGTATCATTTACTTCGACCAGGTCAGACCCAGAGGAATGCAGGGGACCAAGGGGGTGGGCAGTCTCCGAGCATCTCAGGCCGGGGTTCCCTGCTAGGGTTCAGCTTGTCTGATTGGGATGCGGGGGATCATTGAGGCACAGATTTCCCCAGACATAGCAGAGCCTAAAACTTCTGACGCCCCCGCTCCCAACCCCTAGCTCCATTCCCTCCTGGTCTCTAACAGAGGCTGCCCGCGCAGCGGTAGAGAGGCTTGGGAGCGCAGACGCGGGCAGCAAGAGCTCAGGACAAGTTTAGCAGCAACAGGTCAGCAGAAGCTGAAGGGAATCTGGCCCCTGGACACCGCGATCTCTTGGCCGAGGCTGGGCCCCCGGCTCAGCGTCCTCTGCAGGTGTGGTGAGGCTGTTCATGTGGTACCCTCGCAAACGCAGGATAAATGTTTGATTTGTTTCTCCAGGTGGAGAAGCTTCTCGCCAAAGAGAGCTCGGGGCTCCAGGCTCCGTGCAGAGACCCGGCAGGTGGCCTCAGAGGATGGGGAGGTGGTAGTAGGGAGTCAGATTTCACCTCCGATTCTGAGGCCGGGATCCCCAAATGCGTTTTGCGTGGGGCTGCTTTCTGAGTAAGCAGAAAGCCGGTCTCCAGTACTCAGATAAAAGTTGCTTGTTAGGGAGGAAAAGGAATTGGGCAACTCCGCTGAGCTCCCATAGGAAAGCTCTGGGGAACTGGTTCCCCCTTCTTGGGCTCTGTCCTTTCAGAGAATTGCAAATTGCTGGAGTGACAGACTTGCAGCTGGGAGGTAGGGAGTGCGGGGTGGGACTGATGAAAGCTGTGGCTTCTATTTAGCGACTCTGAGCTCTGCGGTCGGCATGATGAGAAACCCCAGGATATCGGCTTAGCTTGAGGAAATCGTCCTAGGGAAGAAAACTGATTTTAGAGTTTTAATTCCAACCCTAACTGTACCCAGAGTCTTTTCATTTCTAAAGTCCCAGTTCACAGTTGTGGGCAAAGAACCTGGTGCAGGACCTCAGGTCAAGTGGTGCTGCAGGATGTACCAGAGGAAGAGTGAGGTGACACTTGTCTTCCCTTCTTAATTTCCCTAAGTGATGTACTCTGCAGCTGACCAAAGTCAGAGAATGCCTCTCTGGGGGTTTTCTATGGGACAGCTATAATTTTAAATGAATTAAGTAGCCCCTTTGAGGTTTTGGTGCAGTATTTCCCACAGTGATGGAAATAAAGTCTAGCACCACCCCTGGTTGTAGTTCAATGCATTAATTAAATGTTGGAATACTGTGGACATTGCACTATCATCTATCTGGGGTGTTCTTTTCAGTGACCTTCCTGTCAATTAAAAGAGGAGAAGGGTTTCTTCTTCTGTTCTGGAGCAATGCATCAGAGACAAGAAGACAGTTTTAGTTATACATCTTGATGTACCTGGATGTTCCAATTGTAACGTAGAGTCAACATCCAGCTTTATGTGTGCTCCACACTAATCACCCATTTCCATTGTTGCTAATGAATTATGCCACTTGTATCTGAATCAGGAAGTCCCTGCTAAACACCTTCAATTATTTTAAATGTGCCTGAAAAAAATCCTCTGTAAACACTCTGTTGGGGATTATTGCACAGCTGGTGCCTTGTTGTTGGAAGACTATTCATCATCAGGCCAAAGAAAATAAATTTGATGCCTAGTGGGAAGAAGGTGGAATCTCAACAAAACCACACACATACACGTATTTTAAAGCAGTGTGGAGCTTGGTACATCTACGTGGTAGTGCATAGTAGTCAGAGGTAATAGTATACTTTTAGGGAAGTGTGCAAGAGGCATAAAAATATATTGTTTGAGATGAAGCCAATATTTAAAACAGATAGCAGCAGATTGCCACTGGTATAAAGGAAATGTATCATTTAGGGATATCTGATTTTCTGGATTCTACTGTCAGATTTATTTCTTGGGGAGACATGAAAAAAACTCTTGTTATTTTAGTGCTCCCCTCTTCTGTCTCTTTTTTTCTTTGGGAGGGACTTGCCTAGGTGACTTTGCAGATTCAGCCCAAGAGGTCTCTTAATTCAGAATTAATTTTATTACCTGAGGAAATAAGATGAACATCTTGAAATACAAAGCACATTGTTGCTTTCTTGGAAATAGCACCTAATTTTGATCCTTGACCTTTAAATCCGCAGCAGGTGATTGCAAGAAAATGATGCAAAATACTGAGGGAACATGAAAAGACCACCTATTTCACTCCATCATGCTTCACTCTTTGGCAGCGAGCAAGGGCTGACTCATTGCCAAAATATTATAATTAGGCTTAGATGGCACAGAAATAAAAAGAAATGGTCTTGGATCTTAGGAAAGTACTGGCAGAAGCTCAGGGAAGGGCAAGGCATTCATGTTGCTTTGTGCACCAACTGCTCTGTGTCACGGATTATGTCACACCGTGGAGAGGGTAGCCAGGCCTCTGTGTGATGCGTCCAGGGATGACTGTGGAGAGCCCTGCGTGTCAATTGGCTGGCCTGGCAACGTCACTTCTGGACATCTGGAAGGCTTGTGAGCAGTGGGAATGTAAGCTCATGGCAGGTGACTTTTATCTGATTCTCAAGGCAAAGCTAATGTTATAAGCCTTCACATGTGACCTTCACCTATTAGAAGCCCTCACATATTTCCAAAGTCATTGGACCTTGCTGGAAATTAAGGCATGAATACAGCGCAATAATTCTTATTTTTCCTATACCATTTAAAAGATGGGAGACCCTTTCAATAAACAAGTCCACTTCCAAGTCATTTTAGAGAAAAGGAAGAGAATTAGATGTTTTCATTCTTTATGGGTCTGAGGTTAGTTATTGAGGAAGGAAGGAAGGAAGGAAGGAAGAAGGAAAGAAAAAGGAAGGGGAGAAGGTACACAGGAAAGGAGCGAAGTAAAATTATTTTACTTGCAGAAGAAAATACTGTAATAATTTACTGTTACTCATTGTTTTTATTTGTAGATCCTTGTTAATGTGGGTAATTTCTTCACATTAGAGTCTGTCTTTGTAGCACCACGGAAAGGAATCTACAGTTTCAGTTTTCATGTAATTAAAGTCTACCAGAGCCAAACAATCCAGGTATGTGTTTTGACCTATGCTGTCTCTGCTCCCAGACGACTGTGTGTATGTTTAGCAGGTTATGTATTGAAGTGATTATGCAAAGATGCATTTCTACTGTGAAAATAAACAGCCATTTTTATAGTTTATTTTTTAAAACACTTAATTCACAGTTTTCTTCTCTATGTCATCCATTAGGTGTGACAAAAAGCATGGAAGAAAGCAAACAACTGAATTAATTACACATGTACAACCAAACATTTAAAAAACATGGTTTGGTAGAAATTCTGGGACATAAATCTCTTCCTACAATGTTGATGTTGCCTTTAAAGCATGTGCAAAAATTACTTGTGTTTTAAAGAGAAAAAATCATAAAATTAGCAGAGCTTTCCAAGTGCATATTAAATAAAAAATTTACTATCATTTAAAATTAGAAGATACATTTAACTATTTAAAATAAACATATGAAGGAACAACTATTTACTATGCTTTTTGAAAAAGATGTGCTATGCTCATGTTGTAGTCTATCCAAGGCTCTTTGGGTATTGGTGGATTCTTACTAATTGCAGTTACACGTTCAATAAGACATCATATTTCATACCTTTTATGATAATGAGCTTGACTTCTAACTCAAAGCAACAATTGAGCTACTTCCTATAACGTTCAAATGTATTGATAGTAAACAATGCTCATGTGTGTCTATGGAATTCTAGGATAACATTTATGCACAGCATTTATATCATATGTTATGCTCACATAAATGGTAGATTACCTATTCTTCTACCAGTTTTACTCATCTTAGTGAGTGGGTAGATTGATCAAGCTCAGATTTAACTTGTTTAATATCACTTTTAACCTAAAAGGAGTGAATATTTAGTAAACAAATTTGCTTCCAGGCAGAACTTTTTTCCAAGCTCCAATATTTGCAAGTATATGTAATGTTTGCCACAGTGCAATGGGAATTATAGTATAGAAAAAAGTAAATAAAATTTGGAGTTCTTTGCTGATTTTCCATCAAGATCTCCAAAATAGTGGTGAATATTTTTAATGCATATTTCTGACCAGTAAAAGCAGAGAAAAATTGATATACATACATTTATGCACATTTATTTCAAATGATTTTCCTTGCTATGCTAGTTATGGGTGCACAGACACCTGCAAAGGGTGTTAACAGAATCTGGTTGTATCTGAGTTTGTCAGGTCAGTAGGTGCCAGGAGGCTTTCTTCATTACCAAAAGGATGCTGCTCAGTGTAAGAGATAAATAAGTATTAAGCTTAATTTGTATGCTAAAAGGAGGTCAGTTTTCACATGACTAGGTTGCTCTCTAGATTTTTTTTTTGTGGTTTAAGAAAATTTCTACAGGAGAAACTTAAAAAAAAAATCAACTCAGTGTGACTCCACAGTTGGCTACTTTAAAGGAAAGTAGTTCTACCATCTTAGAACTAGTAGGTCTTAGAACTTAGTAGGTCTACCATCTTAGACATTATTTATTATGCCCAGGATAGAGTTTAACTTTATATAAATCTTTTTTGGTACTGGGGATTTTTTTTTTTTTTGGTACTGGGGATCAAACTCACGATCTTGTGCTTGTCACACAGGCACTGCTGAGCTATATCCCCAGCCTGGGGTTTAATTTTAAAGGGAGCTTTTCAGTGATTTTATTTTTTTCTAGGTTAACTTGATGTTAAATGGAAAGCCAGTAATATCTGCATTTGCTGGGGACAAAGATGTCACACGTGAAGCTGCCACAAATGGAGTCCTGCTTTACCTGGACAAAGAGGATAAGGTTTACTTAAAACTTGAGAAAGGTAACTTGGTTGGAGGCTGGCAGTATTCGACATTCTCTGGCTTTCTGGTATTCCCCCTATAGAATTTGATTTCTCCGTGGGGTTTACCCAGGTGAGGGGCAGCCTACCCCTGAGTTATTGGAAGATCATATTTTCATCATTGGATTGATGTCCCTTATTGGTTTCTCATGGGTGAATATGGATTCTCTTTAAGGATTCTAGACCTGTCTGAACCAACACAAAATTTCACAGATTATTTTTGTGTGTATACATTTCCATACATTTGGATCAGGACTCAAAGCAGATAATATCTATCTATGCTTAAATGTAACGGTCAAAAGTTGTCTCAAGGTTTGTTCTGAATTTAATTTCTTGGAATTATTCAATTTGCTGCAGGTGTGAAATTTTATTTATTTGTTTTTGTGTTTTTTTTTTAAAAAAGACTGGCAACTGGGTCTGAGAATCAGAAAACTGAAGCTCTGATTTGAATCACTGGTCAGTGTGATACTGCCAAAGAAGTGTGTGCTGTGTTGGTATATTGGTTACATTTGTTTTTATTGCTTTGGAATTTGTTTTGTTCTTGTAACACAACTGGGAATTGTTTCTCAGTGATGGGCATTGTTTTTTTCTCTATCAATAAGGTAATGAATGGCTTGTCTGGAAATTTACCATGACTATCAGGTTACTGAGGTGACTTCCCTAAAATGAGAGAGAAAGAAGAATACTTCATAGTTGTATTTTAATTATCTATGTGAAAGAGTCATATTTTCCAAATTATATTTTCTAATAGAAAAACTAGATCATAAATCTGACAAGGAAAAGGTTGCTTCTCTGAATTCTAAGTGCTCAGTCCCAAACCTTGGCAAAACATCTCTCCTCCACGGAAAATCTTATACTTTATTGCTCAACTTTAATTAACAAGATTGATAATGACCGCTTTATTAAAAACATAAGGGATTTTTTTCCCCTTAGACGTGACCACTTTATTAACTGCAGATGGGACACCCTCGTTTTTAATTATACCTATTTTTCAAGCCTTCTGTTGTGTTTTAAGCATCATCTGGTTTTTGCCTTAACTCCTTAAATTGTATATATGTATCTGTTTAAACTAATATTAAATCCAAATATCCCATATCTAAATTTAGTGAAATATTTTGTCTTTTGTATAGATCATATGAATTCATAAAATTATTTATGTCTCTGTTATAGAATAAAGATTAATATATGTTAGCTGAATTGTTTTGTCCTTTTAGTTCTGGAAATATGTGTTCTGTATGACTTATTTTCCCTCTCTCTCTCCCTCCCTCCCTTCCTTCTACCCTTCCTTCCCTCCTTCCTCCTCCCTCTCTCCCTCCCTCCCTTCTTTTTATTTCTTATTTTCTGGAGTTGAAGAAAATCTTTTTGAATTTCCAGGTAATGTTTTCTGATTTGGTATAGGAAATCTTTACAGTGTTTAATCTGTCCAAATCCAGAAGTTGCAAGCTTGCCAAAAGAGAATCAATGAGCTCAGTAAACCCTTCCTTCAGAAGGACTTACCGTAAGGTAGTTAGCTTTAGAAAGATCCCCTAAAATATCATGAGTGCTTAATGTATGAATGAATGCTCATGAGTATAAAGACCAATATTTTCCAGCTGAAAGCTTGGTGAAACCTTCTGTCCTGCTCTTCACATCAAGATGCAGAAGATTATAGGCATTTTTTAAGAAAGAACCTTTCTCACACGTGTGTTGCCTGGGGATTTGGGATCCATTTCATGGTCTGTAGGAAGTTAAAGCAATTGTGGGCAGGGCAGAGGCCCTTTTGTAGCTGGTGGCAGCAAGGCAAACATTACAGGGTCACCAATGCCAGCCTGACTTCCAGTATGATTGGGATTAATCTTTAAATCAAAATATTCACTCATGTCCAGGAAGAACTCTCCTGTTTCCCCAAAAAGCATTATCTGGAAATGTTGGCAACAGATCCTTGCTGCAAGTCACCTCCAGCTGACTTTCAATCAATAATTCTGATTTTGTAATATTAAAAAAATCCAGTATTACACAGAGAGACACTAAAAGAGATGCTTCTCTAAATCAAATAGAGTCCTCTATAAATTTACCTGCTCTAACAGATGCATCCATACAGGCCTTGGTATTCAAAATTTGTGTTTATGCATCTCTCCAGGGTGAATCATGCTCAAATAAATCTACTTGTCATTGACTTGGCAAAGTGGTGCATGAAGTTTGGAATTACCAGCTGACACTTACGATGAGCCAGAGCAAAATAATTATCAAAAGGTACCAATGTAGCAATGCCTTTCATAAACACGCTGGGACAACATTTTGGGGGCTTGCCTTTATTTTTTCTTGATTCTTCGGAACATAAAAGAACATTGGCAACGTGCTTGACTTTGATTCATAACCTCTAGTTTGCATTTAGCAATGTAGCATCCATTTGAAACTTTTGAGAGATAGTCTATTTGAAAAGGCACCGAGGCTGTGGCTGGCAAATGTAGAAGGTGACCTGTGACAGTGGATCTCAAGTGGAGAGATGAGGTGTGACAGCCTAAGATGCTCATCTCAATCTAGAAGTAAGAGCTGCTGTAAGCACACTGGCCAGAAAGGTAAGAGTGACACGAGAGAGGAAAAAGCAACAGGACAGAACGACATAGCCAGCACAGCTTGGATATTGAATAGATGTAGGTTGGAGTCTTACAGTCTATATTTGCCATTCTGTAACCTTGGGCAGGTCTGTCACTTCTCTGAGCTTTAATTATTTTATTTCTAAACAAGCAAAAGTTGGTTGTGAGGATTAAATAAAGCACCGAGGTGCCTGGAGCATAGCATGAGCTCAAACAAGAGCCTCTATGATTACTAAAATGTAAAGCCCTGACACAGACAAAGCAACAAGGAGAGCTGCAGGAGGAGGTACAGATCAGTAGGAGGATGGGAAGGACGTGGAGTTGGAGTAGGACAGGGTGAAGAGCAGAAGGCTGTGATGTTAGAGATTCTCTCAGAAATGAAGCCAGGTGCTCCCTGCGTATCCTATGATGTGAAAATTGTTTTTAGAAATCGCTACGTCCACAAAAATGCTAATCAAACATAGGATTTGCATTGGCCCTGTCTGCATTCATCAATGCCAGAGCCCCTTCCTGGATGGTTCCTATCTCCTTTGACTGCTCCTTGATCTATTGATCTGCAGTTGCTAGCAATCGTCTGCAGCAAGCAGTTTCCTCCTGACAGGAACCCACGTAAACATAACCGAGGGAAACACTGCACACAGAGTCTCTCAGAGCCTAATTGCCTTTGGAATGTTCCCTGGGATCCCACATTCTGTTGGACTGTGATTATCCAACTACATTTTTCAAAATTCTTTAAAAACTTTTTTTGAGTTTGCATTCTCCCTTTTCTTTTAGTTCCTGGCAACCTGGATAACTTCTTGCTTTCTTTTAGTTGCTCCCTTTTAGCAAGTTATTATTCTAAATTTTGAAATAGACATCTTCAGCTAGCTTCAGCTAAATGATCCTTATCATGGATTACACACATCACAAGGTACTGAGTCTATAATGAGAGGCGGCTTTTCCCTCTTCCAGATCTCCCTAAGTATCTAACAAAGCTAGAATCTTCACAAGGTGCAACATCTGTCTAAAGGTTTGGGCCCACCCTGCCTTCTGAGAGCACTAAGCCTTATCCGTCTACCTTGACTCTATAACTCACCTGTCCCTGAGCAGTAGGAGTCTTCATATTTGTTCACCTAATGGCCATACGAAGCGAGGAGAGAAGAGCTAAGTGACAGCTGTACACATTCTGGCCTTTGGAGTTAACAACTTGAATGTTTATCCTAAATGAGTATTTTTTTTTTTGGTAGCAAGAAGGTTGGGGGTTAAGAAGTTGCCTTCTAAGTAGATTGGTTATTCTCTCTTCTGTGATATAGGTCTGCCTTTCACATGGATTTCAGATACCTTACAGCTGAAATGATGATTTTTCTCTTAGTGCCTCTGACCTTTCAGATGGAAAATAACTTCTGTATGGCTCTGACCCTGGAGTTGCACTGTTCTCAAACCAAAATGTACATGAGAACCCCCTGGAAATCTTGGTAAAATGCAGACCCTACTGCAGCACAGCAAGAGAGTGTGCAAGGTACTGCCCCTCTCTCTGGCTCCTGGTGACATGGATGCTGCTGGCTGCTGGGCCAGTTCAGTGGCAAAGTCTGCGCAGGCTGCAGTCTGTGTTCCCCCAGCATTTGTGGCCTTGGTGGGGCTTGCTGGAAACCTCAGGTGGCGTCAAGATGCACTCCAGACCTGCCAATGTGGAGGCTGTATTTTAACACAATTTCCTGCCTCTCTCATGTTTTTAGGCACCAATACATTGCATAAGTCCTATCTTTAAGTAATCTAAAGATCAGCTGTATGGGAATGGCCTGGGCTGGGCTTTCAGCATCTACAGTCTAGCACAGTCCCCGGGGAGCCTCACCACCACCTCTGTGTGGTGCAGGGCCTTGTCCTTATAGGGATTGGGACTGGGAGTCTAGATGTGAGTCTTCCTTGATCCTAGCAATCCAAAGCTCTCAGCCTGAAGCCTTAGCTCTGGTCAACATGACACCCTCATCTGTGCTCAGGGAATCTTCCTGCATGTGTGGAGCCAGTACTGCAGGAAGACTTTGTCTCCAGGAAAGACATGGTGACCCCAGCCTGACAGCAAAGGTAAGTCAAACAAGAAAGTGGTTATCTAGTGAAGAAAGCAAGGCCCTGGGGACCCCGCTCTCTGTACCCTCAGCCTCCGTCTGAACAGTGGATGTAGTTACTTCTTGCTTTGTTTCTAACTAAAGTAATGTACTCTGCCTCCAGAGACTGCCATGCCTTGAAGTACACAAGGCACCGTGTCTCAAGACATTGCTCAGTGAGCAGAGGGTGTGCACTCTGTGTGTGTGTGTGTGTGTGTGTGTGTATGAGAAAGAGAGAGTGTCTATGTGTGTGTGTGTATGAGAAAGAGAGAGAGAGGGAAACAGAGAGACAGTGAGAGAGACATAGACAGAGAGAGAGAGAGGGACAGAATATTCAGATGAATCAATGACACCCATAATTTCTAGATGGCCAGTCTGAATTCAAAGTTCATGCAAAGGCAGAAGGGTTTCTGTCTATATTTTAGGTCCAATTACTGATATTTGTGAGAAAATACATTATTGTATGCACTGAGTTTAAGAGGCCTTTATTTCCCATCAAGCTGCCCAGATAACATACATTTGACCTTTCTAAGAATTTCTGGGAATTTTGAGGAAATCCTAGCTGCCAATGGTCTGGCAGTTCTCAGGGAAGCTGAGCGATTACTGCAAATACCTATTCTTCCCTCGCAATTTGCAGTGAGAGAAGCCAGCTTGTCTATCTCTCTTCTTTCTCTCCTCCTCTCCGCTGTTTCTCTATTTTTGTCATGCTTAAGCTTGGATGTCAAAGGGTAATCAATAAGAGGAGGAAAATATAGGGAAATTAATGCAGAATGGCTGTCTATTTCCATATTACTATTTTTAATCTTCATGAACACAGAGAACAAAAATGGCTTGACATGACCTGTCCGTTCTGCAGAATCACTTCATTGCTGTCTTTCAGAAGTCCTGGAAAAGCAGGAAATAGGCAGGGGTCCCTTTGGGGTGGGAAGGCAGTGTAGTTTGTGTGTCCAGTGTTTGAGAATGAACAGTGACTTGGAGACAGGTTGTGTGTGTGTGTGTTGTATATGTGTGTGTGTGTATGTGTTTAAATGAACATCTAGTGACAAGGTTGTGTGTTCTGGGTCAGATGTCACCACGCAGGAAAGAGGGCTGTTGCCATTGGCCAAGCATTGATCAGAGCTCTCTTTAATCACTTCTTTAATCAGTAACAACAGCCAACCCGGATGATTCTGTTCTCAAGGTGGAGTTAGAGGTTTTCATTTTTTGCTGTGTTTTCCTTTGTGAGTTACATAGGGTTGTTTTCTTCTAATTTCCTTCTCCTTACTTGTTTAAAAATATATCAGTCACAAGTGTTTCTTTAAAAATAACTTAGCTTTTACTCTGCCTGTTAGCATTTTCAACAGCACAGTGAAAAAACAGTGATGATTTTTTCCCCATGTTAAAAAAAATATAACTGAGCGAACGCTAATATAACAAGCATCTGATTGAAAAAGTAGCGTCTGTGGGTGAATAGCAGCTCCTCTAGGAGGACTAGGAAGAAACTGACTGATAGAACTTGGTTGATAGCTGCCGGG